TTTTTTCTTATCAAGAAATTAAAATCTATTTGTGAAAAATCTATTATATTAAACGCCACGAATTGATTATTTTAACGTATGAAATGGCAACAAGAATAACGTTTTTCAGATGTAAACAGAACGTAAATATCCACCAATAGCAGCTTTTACGTTTTGTATGGAAACAAAATATATGTTATCTTACTAATATTAAAAACTAGCTTTTGCCCGCGACTGCGTCCACGTCGTATTAAAAAAAAACAAAAGTGAGTAGTCTATGTGTTCTTCCAGACCATCCTCTACATCTATACCAAATTTCATCGAAATCCGTTCAGCCGTTTAATCCATCCATCCATCCATCTATCCATCCATCCATCTAAACTTTCGCATTTATAATATTAGTATGAAGTATGATGTGAAAGTATAAATGGATAGATGGATGTTTGTTAAAGGGTATCTCCGGAACGACGAAACGAATCTCGATGAAACACAGCGTTATGAATTCATAATAATTGCGATAAAATTATCCTTAAAAATGCCAGTTCCCTAAAATTGTCATATGTCGGTGTCATTATAGCGTTAGAACCCTTCATTTCGTGGTGGAAAGTGAAGACACGGAATTGCGATTAAGCGGGAAGTGATGTCGGCAGTAGATTTATGACATCAATCAGAACGTGACCTCTAAGAGGATGAGTCAGCGGAATATAAACTGCCTTTGAGTATATAGTTGGAGACAATGACAATGTATCTGCCAATCTGATAATATCTTAACGAAATTGCTTTTATATTTATTTAGTAACTATTCCAGAATCAGTTGTTAACTGACGAAAAGATTTTTTGGGTATGTAGGAAGTTTATATGTGTATCTATGTGAGCCTTATTTACAGACCCGAAAGGGCTAAACCGGTGTTTTATGTGTTATTCCATGAAATTAACAGATCTGCAGAATTTTAGAATTTTCAAATCATTTAACTAAAAAGTGCATTTAAACAGTTATAAAAAGTCAATTTAATCTACAGTACAAATACATGAATACCAAAGTTTTTTTGCAAAATATTAGTTTTTATTTAATAGTAGATACCAGGAAATCTAACTTATAGCTCATTAGTAATATATCTGTACTTAAGAGCGTGCGCACACATAAAACTAAAATATCACACAACTGTTTTGTCTCGCTTTTATTCCTTCGCTTATATGGAGGTGCGTATACTAGTCGGTTTTAGTTGTGCAACTAAACAGTTGAATTGGCTGCGAAACAAACGACAATCGCACACCTGTTGTACGATAGTTTACTCAAAGGTGTACGCCCGCTTTAACTTGACATTGATACCCACGTATTCAATGATTAGTGAAGTATTTTCAATGATATGTACTTGAATGATTTCCCTAACAATAATATCGGATTTCATACGCTAGATTTACATATCTACATTAAAATCATTTATATTTCCAGTATAATCTGAACGATTAAAATAACAATGGTGGGTATAATCATGTAATTATATGAAACTGATTGTCGGAAGCCTTAATTGTTAAACTGACAAGATAAATAACATCAGATGTATATCCTTGTCATTTTAATTGCAATCATACTCATACTTATTTACCAACTTACCTACTAATATAATAAATGCGTAAATTCGAATGGATGGACATTTGTAAACAATGTGAACCGATAACTTCCAATAATTTTACTAAATCAGCGTATTTTTTTTTTACTCACAACAATTTTATTATTTATATATAAGAATTAACGCGGTATAAAGTAATACTTAGGAATAAACTGAGTAAGCAATCATTAGTGCAAATTTTGTTTATACTCAGTTTATTACTAAGTTTAACTTTTATTTGTAAGGATGTTAATTCTTATTTATAAATATTAAAACTGTTTCGAATATCATTTTTACTGTATAAATAAAGTAAATGCGAATAAAAGCATTATTATACAACAAATAATAACAACAAAACAAGATAATAAAATGCAAGTTCATATGGGTGAGCATCTGGTCTTTCCGATAAGATTGGCTAATTTGCGAATTATCGCACGAAAATTTCAAATTACATTACGTTTTAAGTTAAGGTTACTTCTTCACGTTGGTAAATTTAATAAAAAAATTCTCACAAAAAATCATTATGATTCAAACTGATTTCAAACAATAAGACAAAATGTTCGGGTTTCAAACGAATGTACTCACATACCAAAAAATGGCTATATTTCTAAATTACTCAAACTTAATTAGAATTCTTAATAACACAATGGCATTACAACACTTCACAAGTAATTTTTAATATAACATTTAGTGAAGCAATGACATAATAGTTATTTATAAATCGAGAAATCGTTTGCGCTTAACTTGCCA